CTCAAGGTCAGACAGCGCGCGTCCACGCGCCAAACTTTCATCGTATTTCAAGTGAGGGTTATAGAGCCTTGGGTTTGTCGCTGATGTACCAGAACAAGGCTTGTGAGAGATGGAAAACAACCTTCTAATTTCTTAGCTTGAAGGAACATATATGCTTTATTTTTCCTGGCACACCAGCTCATAATTTTCCTCTTTGAAATTTTCTATCCTATGAGCTTTGTACTTCACTGCATAACCGTTGCTTGGGTTTCACAGTTTCTGTCAATGATTTCAAGTGCTTTTCAACAGCTGCAGATTTTTTCTTCTGGAAACCTTGGGCAAGGTGGAAGCACATACTCTGTTATACCTACTTCTTCCCTTGTGACTAGGCTGAGGACAGAACTCAAGGACCCTCAGTCTGTTTTCTCGTAGTTCGTTTCTCTTCCAAACAAGAATATGCATCCCCAAGTGAGGAGTTAAGCTTTTTTTCCCTCTTGTTTAGGATGCTTAATTCTGCAACTTGGGAATCCCCACTTTGAATTTCAAAATTCCCTGTGGGAGATGCAGCTCTCTGACCACTGAATATTTTCGCTCCCTTCTGACGATGTAAAAAGTTGCTAGGAAGTTACTGCCCAGCCAGAGACCACATTTCCCTGCTTCTCAGTGAGTTTGGGCCAGGTGGACGTGTGTGGAAGCGATATGCACCACTTCAGGCCGCGGCCTCTAGAAACCTCCCTCCTCTTCCTCCCTTTGGCTGAACACAGAGGACTGTGAGGCCTAGAGAAGAGCAAAGACACAGGATGGGAGGAGACTGGAAGTCCGAGTAGAAAGCTGCCTACTAACTAGGAATACTGGCATTTGACTTTAGGAGTGGTAGAAATACCTTTCTTTTGTGTTAAGCCAATACAATTTAAGGGTTTATCTGCTTTTTAGTCAGTTAATTAATACATGCTGTCAACTAGGCCTTTAAGAGGTGCACTGAAAGCTCATGTAAATTCAGTTCCTCGCTATGAATTTTGATGTGACAAACATCTAAAGGGTTACGTTGATTATTCCCACCCAACTTCCTCCTCTGCCTTCAGTAGCTCAAAGTCTAGAATTCTTGTGCACTCTGTCCCAGCCACTGTTCCTGAGGCCCAGGAAACTGAGTTCACAAAGGCTGCCTGTGATGATAGACACAGAGCATAAGAACTTATTGGGCCTGAAGCTTCTCATTCTCATTTTGTAACGAGGCCACACATCTTAATGAATCCCAGTGTTTCTTGTCCCTGACCAGTGCTGGATAAACTTTCACCCAAAACTAGTATGACCTGTATTGGTTTTCTATTGCTGTATAACAAATTAACATAGATGTAGGACCTTAAGCAATACAAGTGTATTATTTCATTGTTCCTACGGGTCAGGAATCCAATATGGGTTGGCTGAGTCCTCTGCTCACAATCTCAGCAAGCGGAAATCAAGGTTTTGGCTGGGGCTGTGATTCTCATCTGAGGCTCAGGATCCTCTTGCCAGTGCACTGGATGTTGGCAAAAATCAGCTCCTTGCAGTTCCAGGACTGAAGCTCCTGTTTTCTTTTTTGTTTTGTTCTGTTTTTTTGTTTTTCTGCCTGTGAGTCAAGGACTGCTCTCAGCAACTAGAGGTTGCCTGCAGTTTCTTGCCATGTGCCCCCACCGTGGGTGTTGGGGTACTGCCAGCCTGAGGTGACCCCAGAGACAGGAGCTAAGAGAATATAAACCCTAATTCCGCCCTCTTGTCCATTCCCCTGCTGGGGCTTTTCAGAGGCTTAGCATTGCCTAAAGCCAGAGGAGAAGGGGACTCAGTGATATGCTGGGAGAGAGAGCAGGATGGAGGTGAAAGGTGGATTTGGGGGGACAAACTGAAATATATATACAGCACATCTCTTTTCAGGCTACAGGTAGGGCAAGCGTAAGTCCCAATTTGCCTGGAGCAGTTTGGTTTTTACTTCTTGTCCAGGTGCAAGAATTAATACTGCTAAACTTAGGTTTGAATGCTAAATTATATGGTCACATTAGTTATAGGTTTAAATCCATCTGCATCAGTTTCTAGATAGAGGGTATGTTAAGCGAAGCAAGTCACCGCACTCGTCAACATGCCCCTCTCCTGGGTGCCTTGCGGTCCTAACCATTCTTGACAGGTGTCAGGGGAAAACTTAGGACCTTATGAACTTAACAAGAACACACCTGCCTCCACAACCTGGGTCACGTATGCCCCATTTCTGCATTTGGCTTTTCTCACTTCCTCTTGGAGATCCTTCTCATGTCAGGCCTTAGCAGATCTCCCCTGTCAGCTCCTGAATAGTGCTTCATAGTTTATTTCACCATTCCTCTACTGGCAAACATTTATTATTTAAAATTCTTTATGGAAACCATGCTTCAGTGACCATTCTGGTACATGCCCTTTTGTGTAGATGTATGAGCATTTCTAAAATAGACGCTGTATTAAGAGTTCTTAGCTACAGATAACAAGAATCCATTCTGGCTAGTTTAAGAGAAAGGAGTTTATTAAAATAAATGAGTTAGTTCACAAAATCACTAGGAGGCCTAGAGAAAGAGATTCCAGTTTAACTTTGAACGCCCAGTACTTAGAATTGCACTGTCAAAATGGGCTTAGATTGCTGCTTCTGGCACTGACCCCAGAGCTATGGGGCAAACCAGCTTGATGATGAAAAACAGGCTGGTATCATTGCCAGCACTCTTGTTACAGAGTGGAAACCCCAGGCAGAGCTCATTTCTTTGCATTGCTCACTTCTGAGTTGAAGTCTTAAGTGGGTGTGTCTAATCGGTAACATGCCTGTACCCCAGCTAGCTCCAAGGGAGGCCAGGGAGGAAAAAACAAAAATCTACCAAGAAGGCAGGCCTGACAATATGGAAACTGGTCAAAATGTTGGGAGGCTGTTTCAGAGATGTCATTAGCCTCACATGACAGATGTCCACTGCAGGTGGTAAGAAGTGAATTGTTTGCTTGAAGGATATATGCACTTAAACTATGGTACAGTCTGCCAAACTGACTTCAAGAACTTGTGGACCAGTTTACATTGCCACTCGCAGTGTATGATAATTCCCTGTCCCTACATCTTCTCTGGCAATGGGTAATATCATTTATTTAATATTTTTGACAATTTTTGACAACCTGACAGTGAAAAAAGATCCTACATTACTTAATTCTGCTTTTTCTCAAAATGGGTTGGGTTAGCATGTGTGTGTGTGTGTATATGCCTATCAGCCATTTGTTATTTTTCTAAGACATAGTAACTGACATCTTCTGCCCATTTTTTCTATTAAGTTGCACTTTGTCAACATCTTTAGATATTCTGGGTACTGATATATATTTTTTTGTCTGTTAAATATGTTGAAAATATTCTTTGCAGGGTTCCTTTTATTTCTTTTTCTTGTGTCTTTTACTTATGGGGAAGTTCTTTTCAGAATTTTTTTCTTGCTTGAGAAAGTTTTTCATGTCTTTTATTGTAAAATGTCTTCCTTTGAAACATTTTGATAGTCTTGTTGCTCATGTTTAACATTTCAATCCATCTATAATTCTTCCCTGGCGTGTTTCTGAGGTACAAGTGAAGGGTTCCCCTGCCCCCCGCAGATAGAGAACCAGTTATTCCTCACATTAACGGAGGAGCCCTTTCTTACCATGTGTGTAATTCTCACTCTATGTTTCTGTTTCTGGAGTGTCCATTACATTACACTCTGTGGATTTATAGGCCAATGTTACTTGCTTGCTCCAACACCAGAGCTTTAATTATTTAATATTAACAGTGTATTATGAAAACTGGTAAAGCAATTTATTCCTTATGCATAGAGGACAATGTTATATTCCTGTGAAACATGCAGAGCAAAAGAGGTGACTAGGATATGACAAATTCTCTGCTCTTAATGAGACTACCGTTAGTGGGTAAGACAAAACATCCCCATGAGAGACAATGTGAGAAACAGGACAAAGAATGTACCAGCAGCATGGGAAAGATAAGGCAGATGAGTTGCTGAAGAGTCCCAGGTCAAAAGAGTGTATAAGAATTTTCTGGGGAAAGAATTCTTGGTGGCAGTCATGTAAGGGGATTTAATGTCAGGTATAAAATTACACTGTGTAGGAAATATGTGACTGGTGATGGCTTTTCCCAAAGTATACAGTGTCCTTTGGCAAAGGCACAAGGCACAGTGTAGGATAGGCTAAATTAGGACCTAGTAAATTGCTGGTGGTACTTAATCAAGTAGCTAAGCCTTGCTTTGGCTAGATTAGAAGTCAAGAATAAGAACTGTGGTAGCATTTAACAGAAGTTTGGTTTATGGGAACTTGAAAAACTCTGGTATAAAAGTATCATTTCCCACTTTACGTGCAAAATTGGAAACAATGCTGGTCTCCTCAATTTTTATATATATACAAATATATATATAAATTTATTCTTCTCTATATATGAATATATATCCATATCCATACATATATGTGTGTGTGTATGTGTGTGTGTGTGTGTGTGTGTAAAATTCTTTATGTATATAAAATTCTGATTACTTCATCCAGTGGGAGAAGTGAATTATACCATATCTGTTTTCATGAGGTGAATCACTTCAGTTGGCAAACAGAAACACCTACCATTGCGGTTCTGATTTGTGCGAAAGAGGTCTTTATTCCTCCAGTAATAGCCTGGAGAAGCAGCTGGTAGATGGCATGACAGCTGGACTCCACGGGCCCCCTCAGAGGCCTCCCTGGTCCCGCGGTCTCCGACCGCACGGCTTTCCCCGCAGTTGCTCTGTTCCCTTGGTCCTCTTCCCCCCACCACCGCAGTCCCATCAACAACCCTGTCTCAGTCCCCTCTCTGCTCATCTCCCCAGCGATCAGAGGTTCAGGGACAGGAGAGGTACCAGCAGGTGAAGACCAGCTGCTCCCCTTCATGGCCGTTACCTTCACCGGGGACCAAAGAGGCTACAGGGCGCATGTCTGAGAGAACCCACAAGGAGGAAGGTGGGGTGGACAGCGTGCCAGGCACCCTAGGCCCTGTCTCAGAGTGAGCTCTCGGGCAGGAGACAGGCCTGGTCGTCCTCTGCGTGCTCCACTTCCGGCAGCAATGTGTAGACGGGCCCTTCGGTGCTCGCGTGATACGGCGCTTCTTTGGACCTGGTGGGCTTTGAGTTGGGACTGTAACGACGGTGCCAAAAGGAAGAGATGCCATAGATTGCCAACAGGCACAAAGCATTGACCATCATGTGCCAGCAGAAGAAGGTGGTGACAAACATGATGTCACTGATGTCATCATCCTGCCATGGATAGCCAGTGACTGGTCTATACAGAATAAAACCGGCCTGCACCAGCCAGGTGCCCATCATCAGAAACAGAAAGATCTCGATCAGCGAGAGAGGAAACGCGTTGGGTGCCCACAGGTCTATGGTCAACACCAGCATCAGCAGGAACACCACCAAGATGAGTAGACAGTGCACCTGCAGCTCCACCCCGGTCGAATCTTGAACATGTGACACGAGCAGCATCAGGAGCACGTAGAAGGTCAGCACCAGGGTACCTTTTTCTAGGAGCACATGCCTCCGAGGCAGCAGGTTCTTGCTGGTGACATCTGCACAGCCACTGAGGGTGAGGAGGATGAACATGGTGAGGTGCTGCCACTCTTTGGGGTACATAAATCTCGGTGGCATGTTCCTGTTCATCAATACCATCCCATCATCAAGACAGAAGACCACGTAAACTGTTAAGATGGAGCCAGTCACCACCTTCACCCAACCTCCATAGGATATTTCCCACAGCCTGGCCCATCTTCCCTTAATCCTGGGAGAACATGAAGAATTCAGGAGAGAGTCCCCGACTATCATAGTCTTAAAGACCACTGTTGCCTGATGCAGCCCATAAGAAAAAAGATATAGCCCTGGGTATATATGACCATAGAACTTTCCCATGAAATACAGATCTGTCAGAAATTACAAATTTGCGAATGAAAAACAGAGGACACTTCTCTGTCCTCCTCTCTTTTGAGGACACCCTCAAGTTTTGGGCTGGTAGATAAAGAGCTAACGTCCACCTACTTTTATCATCTCCCTCTGCCCACTGCTCCGAGACAGAATGGAAAGTTCTGGATGGGAGCCTACACTTTTGGTGAGGTGGGTCTCCTTGTTACATTCCATTCTAGTACACTGAGAACTAACTGACTTCTGCCAAAGAAGGAAGATGAATGTTTCCTAGTAGGCACTTGTGAGGATGTGTGTTCTCCCGAGCTCGGTGTTTAGGCCTTTGAGATGTTTCTGGTTGCAGTTGTCCCTCTCCTCCCATTTCTGCTCTGCCCCAGTGAGTAGAGGAACAGTGGAGAAGTGCATGATCATGGAGATTATCCAGATAAAGCCAGGGTTACTCACAAATATTTATACATCTGTCAAGACTCCTTACTCGTATCTTTGTTCATGTATTGGAAGCCAATATATTCTTCCTGAACATAAAAACTTATAAACATTTGGGGGTGAGATCACACAAATACATACCGAGCACCTGCCTGGCCTCTTTATTTTTCTATAACAGACCCACCTCCTCCTCCCCACTGGGGGTACTATCAGCATATGGGTGCTGCCTCTCTGCCCCACAGCATTGCTCGTACGGTGAGGACAGATGATTATGAAGAAGTCTGTGATGTCAGCAGGGTTCATGTTGCGTGGCGAACTTCCTTTCCCCTCAGCACAATTAGCACTCCCAGAGAAACTCCTATTCCATGTACCTCCTGCAATGAATTCGAGGAACTACTGAGAAAGCCCCTCACCTGCCTCCAAATCTCTTTCCACTGGACAGTAGGTGAACCTGGGAGGCCACCTTGGAGATCAATTTTGGGATGTTAAAGCATAGTTTCCTGGTAAAATGCAGAGGTGTTGAGACTATTAGATTTAGTGAGCTACTTCTAGTCAATTGAATTAGCTCATCCGTTTTATCTTCTCTTTAATTATCATTTGCTGTTGTAGAAAGTGTCCTGAGCACTAGGTGACAACCAGTTGTATCAGAGTGTCTGTATCTAAGGCAAGAGCTTTCATTTAGAGGGTTTGGTAGAGAACAAGGTACAGGGAATGTGAGGCCCTGGGCACACAGTGGTTCTGGGTGCATTGCAGGAGGTACATGGAATAGGAGTTTCTCTAGGAACGCTAATTGTGCTGATGGGAAAGGAAGTTCACCACGCAACATGAACCCTGCTGACATCACAGACTTCTTCATAATCGTCTGTCCTCACCGTACGAGCAATGCTGTGGGGCAGAGAGGCAGCACCCATATGCTGATAGTACCCCCAGTGGGGGGGAGGAGTTTACACCCAGGTGACAGCCTCTGAGCCCTCGGTCTCATCCATGTATCTCCCTTTCCTACAGCCACTTATGTCAGAAAAATTCAGTCTATTCATACCCTTGAGGATGAAGGCTATTTCTTATCAGTGGGAGAGTAGTAGGGATTTAAGTGTGAAAATGCTGTAAGGGAGAGAGAGAGCTTATGATAGCTTTACAGAGGGACGTGCCTTCCTCATTCCATTATAACTTTAACTTTCTTTTCTTTTCCTTACACAAGTGTGGCATAGATTGGCTAGCAATTCACTGTGTTTGTTTCTTTTTCTTCCTCTGTATGCTGACAAACTACATTTCCCACCGTGCTTACAGTTAGATGCAGCCTTGCAACTGAGGTCTAGCCAATGGAGTATGAATGGAAGTTCTATACATATATTACTTTCTGGCCTTTCCCATAAAATTGCCCCTCGTGTACTCTCTTCCTGTGTGCTATTTTCCTTTCCTCTGGCTTCATACAGGACATCACAGCTTATTTGAAAGTCATTATGTTGTTGAGGATAGAGGAGCCCCAAGACGGAAGGAATGGGTTTCCTGGATTACTCCTGCTAGGAGGCCTATCTGCTCTTCGGGAACACTCATTTTGGACTATATGTGGTCAAGAAATAAACTCTTTTTTATTAAGCAATGGAAACGTTTACATTTGTTTGTTATAGCAGCTAGTTCACCTGAGCTAATGCAAAATTAATATATAGCCTTTGCAAAAGGAGGAAAAGGAGGAGGAGGAGGAGGAGGAGAAGGATAAAGGGGGAAGGAGGAAGAGGAAAATGTGGGGGTTACTGCATAGAAAGGAATGATTTGAGACTCCCCAATTTTTCCTTTTTAGCTCATGGTCAAAACACCCAGAAAATTTCAAAGAGCTGGACACTCAGGGAGAAAAGGTACACAGGGCAGCCATGAGTACGACCCTGTGATGGAATGGACCATGGAGGAGAAAGCTCTGGGACTGACTTTGCTTCTTGCCTTTGTTCTGGGAAACCGCTGAGCCGCTCTGAGGGGAAGGGGCCCTCTGTGGAGCCAAGTCCATTGCTCCGCTAAGTATTTACCATCATGAAGAGCCCACACATGTTTCTGAGTAGCCCACTTCTACCTAGAATGGACTGAATGTGTCAGAAGTGACTGTTTTTTGTCACTGGAAATGTTTTCTCCAGCTGTGGAGAATGTCAGAGCTGTGGGTCTAAGGGACATGGTAGACAGTGAAGGACAAGCAGACAGCATCCGCCTCCTGGCCACCACATTTATCTCCACCTCTTGACCATTCCTGGCATCTGTGGTCCAGTGGCCAGAGGAGGAGAGAGAGCAGCACTGACCCACCAGCAGTGCGAGGTTGGAAGTGGCACAGATGAGGACAAGGAGCCCCACTTAAGGTCCCGTGTGGGATGCTCAGGCCCCCACCTTGGCCAGACACCAACACTACATGTTGTTCACTGAAACATGAACATCCTGATCTCAACCTTGAAGGCAGGCATCACCCGTCCCAAACCGGACACTGCCCACAAGTAGCGGAGAAGGGAGCCAAAGCGGGTGAATGATTAGCAGGACTGGCAGACAGCCTGTGTCTGTGGGCACCGAGTGCCTGGGGAGCTGCTTCACGCGGAGAACTCAGCTGGAACACAGGAGCCCGCGGAGGCCCTTCCTGGTCTGGCTGCTCCATGGCCAGCCCACATTCTTGAGAGTCCCCAGGCCATCCACTGCCATTTGTCTGGCTTGATACACCAGAGTGAGCAAGAAGGTTCTCAGGAGTTAAGGTAACACGAATTTAATGAATGCTATTGAGATAATCGTCCTCACAAGCTTACAATATAGTTAAAAACAGCAAACACACACACAATATAGAAATGTATAGTAATCAGAGAATTATTCAGAATTAATGAACATCATGCTGAGTGATGTGTAGTGTATTTTGGAAGATTTCCACCAAGGGGAGAGGTTCAAGGTTATTCAGAATCATCCCTAGACACGTTCTAGAAAACTGCCAGTAACTCAGGGAAGGTTTTAGCATCTGGTTTTTTAAGAAACTTTCATAGCAACGATAAAGGAATCTTTCATCTCTTATTGTTGCAGGACAGGCAGGTGCGGTTAAGGATATAGTGCTGCACTGTGTGGAGTTTAGAGTGACAGGACCGATTAAACACTTGCCCCACCGGCCTCTAATGCTAAGACAGTGGCACTTGTGGGAGAAGCAGTGGGACCCCAAGATTCAGGATAGGGAAACAGGTGAGGCTGAAAACTTGGAACCCAATTCCATAGAACCCCCCTTTCTGATAGAAGAAAACCCTCTTCGCACCTGAGAGAAAAAGTCTTCCTCTGTAGAAATACCTTTCCATGGCAGCACCTGAGAGATTTCTGGCACCAGGGGACACCAGTCTTTGTAGGACCCACTCCCACAACCCTTCTTACCATCCGTGTCTGTAACAAGAGATCCAGAAATAGCCCAGACAAGGAGGTGCAAGACCTGAGGTGGGAGGGGAAATCGATACACCCAAAGAATTCCAAGATCCCACCAATCAGCATTGGCAAGAGTGTGGGGAGTGTGGATGTGAATGAATTCTGAAGGTGTTTGACCATTAAAGTGAAATGGAAGGGTTGATTGAGCCCCATTTATCAATATGAGTTTAATTCCCCGAGGTTCTAGGTTTAGTATGTGGCTTGAGCCTCTGCAATGATGTCAATAGTCTGCTAGGTTGCCCACTAAAACCTGGACGCAGTGCACGCTGCAGTCAATAGCTATCGTTGACCCATTGGAATTTCCCTCCAAAGTCTGGATTAGCACTGTCAAATAGAACTCTGTGCAAAGAAGGGACTTTTTTATATTCTGTGCTTTCCAATGCAATGACTTCTAGCCACCTGTGGCTACTGAGCATTTGAAATGTGGCCAGTACAAGTAGGGAACTGAATTTTTTATTTTAATGAATTTAAATTTAGTCCTGTGGACAGTGGCCGTTGTATTGAATGGGGCAGCTCTAGTGTAAGGAGTCTGAAGGTGCAGAGAATGGCAAGGAGTCACCCTTTTGATCAGGGAGAGAGAGAAACATCGATGTGACAGAGAAACGTCAATCAGTTGCCCCCCGCACACTCTCAGAATGGGGACTGAACTCACAGCCTAGGTATGTACCCTGATTGGGAATCTAACCTGCAAACTTTTGGTGCACAGGACAATGCTCCAACCAACGGACCCACCCAGCCAGGGCTATTTGGACTTATTTTTAACATTTTATTTTATGCTTCCATATTCCTTTCTTTTTGGTCCTGACTCCAGTTCCTTCTTTAAAATATTTCCATAGGAAAGAGTAACTTACATTTGCTAGATTTAAAATTTCCACTGAAACAAAGAAATTTCCACTGTTGGAATTGAAAGTTATGGGGACTTGAGATTGGTGACATTACTGTGTTCCTGTGTTCCCCAACTTCCTTACCGCTCCGGCTCTAGCTTTGTAAAACTTTACAAACAATCCTGCTAAGTCTTAGAACCATGACGTGCCGTATAGACATGTCTCATAGGCCAAGTTGTCCTTGGGTTCTCATAGTTCCAGTAGTTTGCGTGGCAACCTCTAATCCTTTGTTCCTCAAATAAATGAATTTTTATATATGAC